GGCCTCCCGGGGGAGCTGCTCCAGCCCCACGAGCACCTTCATGGCCTCCTCTGGACCTGCTCCAACAGGTCTGTGCCTTTCCTGTGCTGAGGACTCCCACCTTGGGCCTAATCCTGCTGTGCACGCCGAACTGCAGAGCCAGGTCACGGCTCCATCCCCAGCACATCCTCGCCGTCCCCACCCCACTCCCCCGCCGTGAGCACACGTGAACCCCAGCGCCAGCCCCGTGCCCCGGCGCGGGGTGAGGCCGGGGCAGCCCCAAAGCCCTTACAGCCCCGTGGGTGAGCAGCCAGCACCCCCCCCCATCACCGTGGGGATTTATTTGCCCTGTGGAGGAGAGCCACAGGTGCCATTCGGTGCCCCCTGAGGCCTCCAAACACCTCCTGGAGCTGACCGAGCGTTTCGCCAGGCATCCGCAGAATTAATTGCTGTTTCCGAGAACAAACGCCTGTATTGGTGAAATATGAGGTTCCGTTTCGTTAGGGGTTTTTTTCATCTTTGCTGTTGGAGAAATCCAAGGTTTTGCAAGTTTAATTTCCTCCACCTGCTATTGCTTCATGCCTGAGCAAACAGCCCAGCTGCTGAACAAGCACATCGGGGCTGGGGATGTCCAGCTTTGCAGGCAGCTGTATATAAGGGACGGAGCTGAGCCACGTCCCGTCAGAGCAGGAGCCTCCTCTCAGCCGGCCAGGCGATGCTGGCCTCCCTTGCCCTCCTCCTGGGGCTGCCCCTCGCCCTCAGCGCCGAGCCCCCCAGCTGCGCCCCGCTCGTCCCGGTCACCCTCGACAATGACACCATCCCTAGGGTAAGCCCTGCCTTCAGTTCGGGCACCCGTTCTCTCCTTTCCTATCAGCACCACCAGCCGTTACGGGTCCAGGAAGAGGTTATGAACCCAATCAGCAGCTCAACTCTTATCTCGCTGCCTGTCCATGCTTATTTTCCCTAAAAAAATCAAGGCTGCTGCACAGGAGCGTGGGGAAGGGGGTGAAGCCTTGCAGCTCTGCACTCATGATCTCGTGAGCAGGTGCTTTTGGAGGGCTTCTGTTTCCATCTCCCCGTGCAAACCAGGCTGGGCAGCACCGTCCCCAGTGCTTCACCACTCTATTTCTAGTCCTTCAAGTGGTGGGGACTCGGGTCACAAGTCTCCATCAGCAAAACTCCTCACTGCATAAGCAGTATTTAGTCCCTTGGGGACGTTTAATGGGAGGAAAGCAAGGAGAGCCAGGCACAGAGCAGGAGGGACATGACCGCAGAAACAAGCTGGCCATCCCGGGAGCTGGAGCATCTCCGCTTGGGGGAGAGGACAAAACCAAGAGCCCCTCATCCATCCTGGATTCTGCCCAGGGCAGTCACCTACCAGGGGTGCTCCTGGCCATGGGGACGGCATCTGCTTTTACTCACACGGAGCCCGTGGGTGAACCCAGCACAGCACCCCCCAGCTCTTCCCCACTCCCCTCCTCTCCACAGATCCTGGGAGAGTGGATCTACATCGTCGGCGCCTCCAGTTACCCGCCTCACCTGGAAGAGCTGAAGGTGCTGAAATACACGGCTTTTTCCATCTTTCCTGGCAGCCATGAGGACGAGCTCAACGTCACCGAAATCATGAGAGTGTAAGGATGAGGATTCACCCCTCACCCAGCTCCCCTGTCCCTAAGGGCATTTCCACCCACTGGTGCCACCCTCTGGGCTGAGATACCCCCACACACAAATTTGGGGCTGGAGAGCAGCTATGCCAAATCTATTTCAACTCTCCAGCCTGGCTCAAGTTCTGAATCCCTCGGGTTTGGTTGGGGCAGTTTGGGGGGGTTGTTGGCTCCATCTGACCTCTCTGCCCCGCAGGAACGAGACGTGTGTGGTGAGGAACGGCAGCGTGATCCACGTCTTTCGGCACAACTCCACCCTGGTGCACGGTAAAGCCCCTGCCGTGGTGCAGGGCCAGGACTGGGGTGGGGAGAGGGGAAGGGGCACAGCAGCCACACCTTGCACCCTCCCGCTTCTGCCCCCCTGAGCTCCCAGCACCAAAATATGCCTGGAGGTGGGGGAGGAAAATTTCTTCTATACCCTAAGCAATGGGCACAGCAGTGCTGTGGGACCAGACTGGTCCCTACTGGGATAAATCTCCTGGGGTAAAGGGGATGAGCAGCCCCCGCTGTGCTGCTGGCTCTGCCCAGGCTGAGCCCCGGCACAGGGCAACGCTCGCCAACGGGGACCCCCCTCTCCCTGTGCCTTCCAGTCGATGACCAGACGACTGCCACGGCTAAACTGATCCAAAGCGACAAGGACCTGCTGATCCTGAGACACTTGCACAACAACTACCTGGGTCTGAGCCTCTCGGGTGAGTGGATGCTGCCCCAGCTCCGTGGGGCACGTCCCTGCCTGGGGATGCACCG